TCTGCCCTACAGCGTCGATCCCGACTCTTACTCCAAGCGCAAAGGAAAAACTCTTGTGTTGTTTTAAGTAAGTGTGGGGAAGGGCTCTCGCATGATTTCGTTCTTCTTTTAAAAAAAAGTGAACAAACCAAGCCTCTCAGGGCTGCCGATGTATCCTTTGCACACAGAATTCACTTGTGCAAAGCATTCACTCTGATGACCTTTGTTGCATACTTAAGGTTGTGTTCCATTGCCTTTTCCTGGCTCCGAAACTTTCTCAGTCAGTCTTGCTCCACCCTCCCCAGCAGCACCCTTTTCTGTGTTATCCCATTTGAGACCTGCCATGGAAGACTCTTATTGCTATGAGCCTGTGCTCTCTCGTGCATGGCTTCTTTTACTCCTCCTGCTTTTGAGAGGAATCCATGCTGGCATGGAGCAGCCCTTTGTTGCCTTTTCGTGGCTGGTGGTGCGCTACTATGTGTCAGTGTCACAGTTTGTTTGCCCTTTACCAGGTGATTGAGATTCTGTTATGTCCTATGTGGGGCTATCAGGCTTCTGGAAACACATACATTGTTACATAAATGATGTTTTCATTTCTCTTATACAAATAACTAGAAGTGGAATTATTCGGCCATATGGTGTTTTGTTCAACTTTACAAGAAATACTAAGCCATGGCTTTCATTTTTATTGCATTTATGTGTTTATTTAGCATGTATGTGTAGGGGTGCACACATTCTGTGGCACTTGTGGAAATCAGAGGACAACTTGGGGGAGTTGGCTCTCTCCATCCATCATGAGGGTTCTGGGGATCCAAGTCTGGCTGTCAGGCCTGGCGGCAAGCATCTTTACCCACTGAGTCATCTCACTGACCCACTGAACTGTTTTTGTAAAGCGGTTGTGCTATTTACTTAGCCATCAGCAGTGAGGAGAGCCCTAGTGGCTGGACGCGCTCACAAAAGACTGCTACTGTGTCGTTCTCTTTCCCGCCTGCACTGGGCCTGCATTGCCTTTAGTGTGGTTTCTAGCTGCAGCTTTCTGATTTCTATGCACACTAAGTGAAGGGACTCTGACCAGCTTGAGTGTGGTGAGCATGGATCTGGCAGGCCTTGCCCTTCTCCCTGATTCCCTTTGTCTTACTAAACTGTTAGGTTGTGTTCTTAAAGCTAGCCACTAACATCTGTTTCCTTACTTGGCCACTTCCTCCTCCTGAGGCTGTCTATCAAGGTCTAGCTATTGAAATATTGAGGTCCAAAAATGAGAAGCCCTCTTTGATTCACCTAATTAACTTATCAATTAAAATTAGCTCCTTATCCTAACACCGGGTTTCCCCTTTACCTTTATAAACCTCCATTTTCCTATGTGTCATGTCTGTCTCTGACACATACTCCTGCCCCCTTTCCTTTGTCTCCTTCCCTTTCTCCCTCGTCCCCCATTTCCTTGGCCACCACATCCTAGCCCATTTTAACACAAACCTCCTGTTTTTCTCTTAAAATTTACACCTGCAAGGTCATTTGCTGTTGTTTTTCTGCAAGAGTCAGAAAGGAGCCATTTTAACTTTCTTCCTTGCTTAATAAAGAATCTCTGTGAAAACAGGTGTTTGGATGGAGGCTGTGCCTAATCCAGGGTCTGGGAGGGAGCCCCTGTTGTGCAGGGGTCCCTTTCACTGAGCATGACCTCTACTCTTTGGTGAAGTGTCACTAAGAATTTTGCCCTCTCACCTGTTTTCATCTATTATCAAATAATAACTTTACATGCAGTGATATCTTTAGCACAATCTCAATATCTGGAAATACATTTTGCAAATGTTTTCTTTCAGCCTGTGACTTTTTCTTTTCTTTAGAAATGCCTTTTAAAAGGAGATTTTCCTTTACATATTTTCCTTTCTTTCTTTCTTTTCTTTTTCTTTTTTTTTTTTTTTTTTTTTTTTTTTTTTGATCAAGGCTTCTCTGTGTATCCCTGGCTGTCCTGGAACTCACACTGTAGACCAGGTTGGCCTCAAACTCAGAGATCTTCTCAGAGGATTCTGCCTCCAGAGTGCTAAAAATCAAGGCATGTGCCACCACCGCCCAGTCACTTATTCCTTTTTAAAAGCTGTATTCCTCAAGACTTATCTAAAAGTCATTGTTTAACGGAAGAGAGTTCCTGCTGCTGTGCCCTACAATTTTATAATTTCACCTTTTACACTCAGCGGCGGTGGCGCGCACCTCTAATCCCAGTTCTTGAGAGGCCAAGCGGATTCTGAGTTCAAGGCCAACCCTCTACACAGAGAGTTCCAGGATAATCAGGGCTACACAGAAAAAAATCCTGTCTCTAAAATAAACAAACAACAGCAACAACAAAACTCTGGGAATGTTTAGTTGCTTTTCCTGCGCCTGCAAAGTCAAGAAAGGAGCCAGAGTTCAAGCGTGACGCCCATCACGGCACAGGAGCCCTTGTGTCAGGAGCCCCGGGCAGCGAGTCCATCACATCTCCTGTCAAGACAAAAATGGTGGCTGCACAGGTCACCTTTCTCCTTTTCCTCAGCTAAAGACCCATGGAATGATGCTACCTACTGGGGTGAGGGGAGTCTGCCACCTCAATTAACCTCTAGAGAATCCTCCCAGAAACGAGACGTTGAACTAATAATAATCCGGGCAGTCTTCCGCCAGCATGCCCCAAAGCTTGTCTCCCAAGCCATTCTAGATCTGGACAAGTTGACAGTCAGTACCAATCACACGACTATTTCAGGTTACTGCTTATACGCAGCGTGAGGTGAGGATCATTTGTTTTTCACCGTCAGCATGTAACTGCTGAGGTATGCTCTGTCAGAAAGACTTCCCTTGTTCCACTAAAGCACCTTACCTATGCTGCCAAGCAGGGGCTGACTGAAGTAGGCTTGGAGTTCTTGGTGGCGGGAGTCCTAGAAGAATCTGGGGCATTCTTCTACATTAGAGTCAACTCCTCAGCAGCACTGAGATAGTTGAGAAATCATACCCTATATAATTAGTCGGACAGAGTAGGCAGTAAATGTCTGGTGTGGAGCACGGTAACCCCCAAACCGCCAACCCCTAGACAAGAATGAAAGGGGGGGCTGGAGAGATGGCTCAGAGGTTAAGAGCATTGCCTGTCCTCCAAAGGTCCTGAGTTCAATTCCCAACAACCACATGGTGGCTCACAACCATCAGCCATCTGTAATGAGGTCTGGTGCCCTCTTCTGGCCAGCAGGCATACACACAGACAGAATATTGTATACAAAATAAATAAATAAATATGTTTTTAAAAAAAGACTGAAAAGAGGGTCTTCAAGCAACCACACATTTTATCCCAGGACCGACACCCCAGAGGTCAACTGAGAAATATCTCACTGAAGAGAGTAAGGAGGAACTCCAAACACAGCACTGGGCTCTGTCTTGGAAGAACTTTAAAAAAAATGTGTATGTGTGTGTGTGTGTGTGTACATACATGCATACACACATATATATATATGGGTGTGGTCAGGTGCTTGCTGAGGCCGAAAAGTAGAGCAAAATCCCCTGAAGCTGAAGTTACAGGCAGCTCATCCACCCATTAAACTGTTTTGTAAAGCAGTTGTGCTATTTGCACACTCACCAGCCCCTGATACAAGTGCTGGACTCAGTTCTCTGGAAGAGCAGCAGGTGTTCTTAACTGCTGAGTCACCTCTCGGCTATCACAGACATCATCCCAGAGACCTCTTCCAGTTTCTCTTGGGAGGTGTCAGAGGGGCTGTCAGGGGGCTGCCCTGCTCAGAAGTGGGACAGAAGGAGAGACATCGCTGACTGAACTGGGCCACAAGAGTACTGGTGCATGAGTTAGAGTCGGGCATACCTGCATTCCTAGGTAGAAAGAATAAACGAGAATCGAGAGAGAGAGAGAGAGAGAGAGAGAGAGAGAGAGAGAGAGAGAGAGAATACTATGTCACGTCACCCATAGGAACTACAATCCAGGCTAGCCCCGGAACCCGGCAGTAAATAAACTAGGAGTCTGTACATGAAGGTGCCACAAAGCACTTAGATTATTTAGCACAATGGTTCTTAGTCTTGGCCTCAAAGAATGTCATCTGTCAACATTCAGCAACTCACCAGTGGCCAGGTATGGTGGTGGATCTCAAGTTTGAGACTAACCTGGGCTACATAGTAAGTTTCAAACCAGCTTGAATTACAGAGTGAGACCTGTCTCAAAAAAAAAAAAATCAAAGGAACTCACTGTTATTTGGGCCTTTCCCCACACACTCTGCAGGGCCAACCTGGACGAGGATGCTTTTAGTCCCGAGAACCTGTGTTCACCTTAGAGAGGTGGAAGCCAAGAAGTAATGTTGGGCAGACACTCAGGTGACTAACTGCCCTTGCTTGCCCAGGACTGAGGAGGTTCCAGGAGGTGAGAAGTGTCAGGTTTAAGGCAGAACAGTCCCAGAAGATGGGGCTTTCAATGCTGAAACCGGGACGAATTGCTCATCTCATACACACTGCACAGTGTCTTTCCCAGTTAAGATGACAGGACAGGTGACCAGCGAGTTGTGGACAGCCAGTGGGTGCCTGGCTGTTAAGTTTTGTGTGTAGAACCCTTCTGTCTAACTTCCCTCTGGGCAGGACATCTCCAAACATCAGCAACAAGGTCAATTTCCTCCACAACAGGCGTATACAGTGTGGAGGGGGATAGGGGGTGGGAATGGGAGGGGGTGTGCTCTTTTGAGGCCATCTACTGCTTTGTTCAGACGTCTGTTTCCATGGTTTCCTGCTTCTGTGGAGTGCACAGGGCTTCTTTCTTGTCTAAATCGTCTTCCTACAACGTACTTTCATGATATCATATACCTCTCCCATGGAGTACTTACCATAGCCATAACTTTGCTCCTTATGTGAGACACAGTGCTGTAGCTCAGACTGCCCCTAACTATATAGCCAAAGGTGACCATGAACTCGTGATCTTCCTGTCCCCACCTTCTGAGCACTGGGATTACAGATATATACCACCATGTCTGATTGCTGGCGCAAAGATTTTAAACTCGGCAAGGACGGAGGCCAGGTTCTCTTTGGCTGTTTATTGTCTCATTTTCAGCTAATAGTAAAGTAAGTGACAGGTGGAGGTGCCTGACAAATGACTTTCAGACAAGGAATGCTTCCTTGCATGAAAGAAGCAGGGAGTATCATTACTAATTTTTAAGCCTTGCATCCTTCCGATTTCAGTCCAGCAAGAGGTGAGGATTAAGTCTTTGTCTAGCAAGTTCCAAACCACTCTGATAAAATCCTCCAAACAGAAGCACAGGCATAGCAACGAGGGTAGTGAAGGCCCTGCTTCAAGGCCTCTTTGGGCCGCTTACTGCCCAAGACAGGGCTCCTTCTGGAAGTAGAACTACTGATTAGCCTCCTATCCAGCCCCTTTACCTTCCTGCTTCAGCAACTGCGTCGTTATTACTATCTGTGATGTGCAGGACTCGCTAGGCAGGGCACACAAACTCATTGCAGAAGGCCTGTGGATTCTTCGTCATCATCACCGCCATCATCCTCACCCTCATCACCGTCACCATCAGATTGTTACCAAACATGCCATTGGTCCAGGGAATATGCCGAGTGCTGCGGGGGAGGGGGGGATAAGGAAAAAGTCATTAATCAGACATGACCAACATGTGCTACATTCCACAGCTGGGGAGATAAGTACTTTCCAAAAAAGCTCCTCGGGTTGTAGGGCAGTTGTAATAAATGCCAGGCACACGGCGAAGTTGCTAAGGGGAGCCTCGTTTCAGAGGAGGGAGAGAATGAGCTAGAACTGTGGATTGGACTGGGCTGGGTCACGGGGTTCTCCGCTGTGTCACGGGCTCCTTCATGTTTCATGTGCAGGCGTCAGTCTCGGGCACCCTCACTGCACTGACCAGGCTCTGATGATGAGTGGAACGCAGACAGCACGGAATAAACAGAGACCATCTCATTTGCACCCAGCGCCGGCTGTACGAAGGTGATGTAGTGCTGCCGGGTCTCACGCGAAAGAACACCCAACTACTGAAGTCATCCCAGCTGAGTCATTTCCGGGGAAGCGGCTTGAAGAATCCGCCTGCTCTTTCTGATGCCTAACCTTGCAGCATCTGTCTTAGGGTGCCACCTAGTGACATCATTCGGAAAAGCTGCCTGGGCCTCCCACCTCCCGCTTACCTCATTTACCTACTCACGCCCCCACCGCCCACCCCACGGTAACCACAAGGTTCCAGCTCCCAGTACAGTAAGACACCCCTCTTTCCAGTCCCCTTCCCCTATGGTATCCTCATTGTGACCTTTGCCCTGAGCATCTCCTTGAAGAAACATAGCATCCTGCCAGCTCCCGGGATTTCCCTGGACTTCGCTAAGGCATCCTTTCTAAAGTTAGCCTGCGCTTTTCAGGTTAGGTGCAGGGGAAAACAGTGCCAAACTTCAAGTCCCCGAGAATGCTGAGCCGGGGCTTATGTCTCCAGTGTTACCTGTAGGTCTGTGTCCTTAATGAGTTTCCCTTCCTCTGCACTGAGTGCCACACAAATTCTTGAGTCTTCACTCCTCAAAATGCCACCAGCTCAAGGATGCACACTTTATCATCAGAAGGAAAAGGCTAAGGTGGTGGTGGTGGGGGGGGCTGTCATTGTCAAATAACCTGAAGCAAAGGAATAAAGATCCATTGAACTGCCCAGAGATGGGATGCCTAGGTGAACATGCTATTTGCAGCCCTGGCCTTACAACAGGGTGACTAGTGTCCTGGTGGCCCAGGGTTATTCGGGGTATGGGATCCCTGGGGTTCACAGACTGCTAAGAGTCCTACTCTCAGGAGAAGCCTAGTGAAGGGAGGCAGGTGACAACTGGCACATTAAATAATGGATGATCTCTGTTATAACGAGGCCAGAAAGGAAAATAAAGTGGCTGGTCAAAGGCAGAAGAAACTACTTGGTGGTCCAAGCCAGACCTGAGTGGTAAGAAGGATTCAGAGGGAGACAGCGAAGAGGAGGCTGGAGAGATGGCTTAGTGGATGAGAACATGTGTTTCTCTTGCAGAAGACCCAAGTTTGATTCCCAGAAGTCACGTGGCGGCTTCCCCTTAGCCTTTTATATTCGGTGAATGGATCACACACAAAAATTACTTTACACAAGGGAGTTTTTCCTTTTTCATTTGGTTCCTCTCTTGGTTTTGGGTGGGAATTAAAGGAAGAACTGAGATTGCCACCCAGGGAACAGAGCAGAGAGCACTGCTTAAAAAGAGAAGTGCAGAGGTGAACTCACACAGGCCTCCCCTGGAAATCCCTCCTGAGGAGGCTCCCACGACAACAGCTCTGGGCCTGGGACTGAACTCACCTCGTGGGAATCTCAAGGATCAGGGAGTATCACCAAGCTCAGGGTCACAATCTCTACCTCAAGAAGTCAAGTTCAGCCACCTACCCTCCAGAAGCCGACTTAAACAGCCAAATGAAGAGTGAAAAGTCGAAAAAGGAGATTGGTTCACTGTGGCCACATTGGGAAGAGGAAGAAAGAGGTCCCGTGACCACTTCAAGCCCACTTCAGAAGCCTAAAGTGAAATTAAAATTTAAGCAGAGGGCTAGAGACATACACATCTAAACAGTCCCAGCCAGAGTGCCTGGGCTTCATTTGGTCTGGGCTTCATTCGGTCTCGTCCCGTGAGGCGGTCTGACAAGCTGTGCATGTCTTTCTGGGAAACAGGTACCCTTCCCCATTACACCTCCAGCTAGTTTGGTGGTCAGGTCCGGGGAAATCCATTTTTCCCAGGCCTCTTACTAGAGCACAGCTGACCTGGATGTAGTCCTCAATGTGTCCACTGTGCCCTTCTGAATTTGTCTTTGCATCGGCATCTCATGGTGTCCTGGGCCCAAGGTACCACTGTGGTTCCCACTTGAAAGCTGAGAGTCCAGAAGGCATCATGGAACTTGCTAAAGATCAGATAATTGTGAAGCGGGAGAGGTAGGCTTGACGCTACCCTGGCACCCTGAACTGCACACGATGTGAAACGCTTGGATGAACTTTGAGATGGATGCTTCTGCAATCCCCCGACTCCAGTGTCCAGCTGTGCAATGCTTCCTCATTTCTTTCCCATCGTGGTGAATCTGTGCTGAGAGCTGAAAGAAACTCGATGGTGTAAACAGATAGTTCTCTACCAAAGGCACTTGGGTCATTTTCTGGAGATGTGTTTTTGTTTGCCATTGAAAGTCCTGGATGTGAGGTTCAAGGGGATGCTGAGGCAGGTTGTTGAGGGTAAGAAGTTTGTTAGAAGAATTATTAACTCCATGGAGAGACAAACAGACAAACAGCATGGTGGGGAGTCTGAGGAGAATTTGGGATCCCAGGATCAGGCACAGACATGTCAGGGGCTCTGAAAGAAGCAATCAGGGTGCACATGACTGAAGTGGGGATCTTTTCTGAGGATGTGGCGGTTTCAGAGTAGGAGCCGGCAGGCAAGCACTTTAATTCCCAGGCAAGAGGCTAGGGAAGCAGTGGGGAGCAGGATGTGGGCCACCAATACCCACTTTGATGTACAGCCGCTTCTGCAGAAGAGACATGCTGGCAGCTGGAAGTATGTTAGTCACGGACCCCTCGTCCCCTCGGTGGGGTTCCCTGTCAGTATCTGGGAAAGGGGACGGGCTGTGGTGGGTGTTGTGGTCTGAGTCAAAGCCTAGTCTAGGTTCTAACGCTATCTTCTCACGGTCCTCTCTGTTGGTGCATGATGCCAGCGACAGGGAAGTTAGTCTAGGATACACGACACAGACACCCGCAGTGGAGTCAGCAGGGCCAAATGTCACAAGTACTGAGGTTACAAAGCCCCAATAGGGTAAGGCGAGTAAGGACACAAGAAAGCAGCAAGTGGCCACTGGGACATTATCGTCACAATTTAACCTCACTCTGGGGTCTGGTTTTCAGCGTGTCAAACCTTAAACCCTGATTTTGTGACTTCTCAGAGATAAATCTTCTGGAGAAATGATTCATAACCAAGCCAAAAGCCTGAGAACTTTACTTTTAATGGCTTTAAAACCGACACCCCTGAAGCAAAGCAAGGAACTCTCCCCATGATCCACACAATGCATTAGAAACATCAAAATAATTAAAACCACACAAACTCCCTAAAAACCTCTCCCCACACCCTACTCCGACGGGCTCACTATCACCCCACCCTGCCAGGTCTGTTCCAAACAACGCGGCACCTGACTTTCTGCTGGCAGGTGACACTACCTGTCCAGCTCTTCGGCGACAGTTGCGGAAAGGACAGAAGAGCAGCCCTTCAGACCTGATAATTCAAGACACAGAGAGACAAGGCCAGCGTGTTCTCTAATGACACATCCATTCATGTGCCATAAAAATCCTGCGATAGCACCATCAAGATTTTTCTCTTCAAATTTTTATGTTTCATGTAGCTGAATAGTTTGCTTGCTTGTATGTATGTGCATCAATCACATGCATGGTGCCCACGGAGGGTGTTGGACAGAGTTTCCAGTTCCTCTGGAAGAGCAGCCAGGGCTCTTAACCACAAAACCGTCTCTCCCACCCCTTCCCATCTACAATCTTCTTTTCAACAGAACTGTGCCTTCTTGTTCAGCAGGGGACCGCTCTGGGAAGCCAACAGCTTACCCAGTGGGGAACAACTGTGCACAGTGAAAGGATTGATGTTCACAAGCCTCAGCCTTCAATAGCGTCTTCCTCACGCCACGATGAGAAAGCTAGATCCTATCACACAGACGCTAGTGTTGAATATCCATCACTTCAAGCTCCTTCTGAAGCAGGGATACTAGGCCTCCACCCCATGACACCCTTGCCCTCCGTCAGCACACTGTCTGCAGCCCGAGGTCCGTCAGGCTCCGAGGCCTGAAGTGTTGCTAATTTAGCGTGCGTTTCCTTGGTCTATCAGCAGAACTAGCTCATGAGGGCTCCGATGCACCTTGTCCTGGCCGGGCAGTAGGTCACCTGCAACTTTCTATGTTGTGTCACGGTGACTTGAGCAGATTCTAGGGTTGGGTAGGCAGGTTTAGGGGCACAGACCTTCCAGCTCTGGCAGAACCAGGATTAAGTCCTGGCTGCAGCACCCGTCAACCATGCACCCCTCCCATCAACCCTCTGGGTCTCACTTCCCCATCTGTGGCAAGGACAACTAGCTGCTGTCTCGCAGGGTCACTGCAGGCAATAAGTACAGTGCTGAGCCAGACTTCTTGTCTCTAACACAAAGGGAGGAAGGTTTATTTGGGGTCACCATTTCAGAGGTCTCAGAACATAAGCCCCACCCCTGAAGAGTCTGCGCCCAAGATCAGGCACAACATAATGATACCAAGAGTGTGTGGTCAAGGCTACTCACCACCTGGCAAACAGGAAGCAGAGGTGGATAGCGAGAGGACCGAAGCAAGACCTATCTCCCAAGAACATGTCCCCTGTGGCCTACCCTCTCCAGCTAAACCTTTCTTCTTAAAGTTTCCAGACCTTCCCAAAATAGCGCCCCTAGATGAGACCCAGCCCTTCATACAGGAGCCCTGGAGGGAACACTTCATAATTAAACCATAACATGTCATCATGTCTGTAAAGTAGCTAGCCAAGTGCCCGGCAGAGGGACAGCTCTCTGTAAATCATCACTGTTACCTATGTCCCTTAGCACCGAGCCCAGCAATGACAACTGGCCCCTTCCATCATAGGTACCCAGTGCATGTTTGTGACTTGGGACTGTTTGGAACTCCATGTTCATCACTTGGTCAGACACAGGAGCTGCCTGCCCAGTGTGGACCAGAGACCTGGGGGAGAGGAAAAGGACGTGGTGAAGGTCAGATGGGTAGAGGCCCGTGTGTTCACCCTACTTCACCCTTATGATCCATCTGACCCCAGCAGGTGACCTAATCATTCACTTGAAAAGTGAGGCAAGTATCAACCATCTTCAGGTTCAGCCCTGCCCTGAAGGAATATAACCTGAGTTACAAATATAGGCCACCTATGCAGTTCTTAAAAACGGAGTACTTGCATTATAAGCGAAAAACAAAACTTCAAGCCAGTGAAATGAATCTCACTATCTTTTCTTTAAACCAAATATCTAAAACACTGTTTTGATAGGAAATCAATTTTGAAAAAAAAATGACATAACATTTTGTATTTTCTCTGTATCTCTCTGCCTCTGTCT